AAACACAAAAAAACATTTAAAATAAAGTGCTATATATTCTACAGAAATAAACAAAATGAAAACATCTTATCTATGTTTATGAAATTCCACCCCCACCGACCCCTGCTTGTTTGTTTTACCTGTCTGGGTAGAAGCCCCAGTGAACAAGAACCTGCTTGTCTTTCCTCATGACAGGACGTAACCACTCCTCTGAAAAACARAAAGGTTAATGCTGTTAATAAATAAATAAAATACAACATTAAGACTTTGTATAGGCCAGGGGTGTCCAATCCTGGTAGTTGAAGGAAGCCTTCCTGCATGTTTTACTTGTTTCCCTGCTTCAACACACCCAATTCAGTGACTTAATCACTTCTTTCAATTCTGCAGAAGCCCATTTATTTAAAACAGGTGGTCCAACATCCACAGTAAATAATGTCTAGTATTTCAGTCAGAGATGTATAACAAACCTTCTTCCTGCTGAGTCAGAGATGAGTAAATGATGTGAGTGGCCTTTGACTTATCCTCAGTGATGGAGCCCTGAGGAMAAAGCAAACAAAGAGGCAGATCCGTTAGCACCGGTGATCAAAACATTTTTAACAAACACTTTTTATTTTCTGGTTTGACATGAGCTCACCTGGTGCCTTTTGATGATGTCTTTGAGCTTACTCGCTTGTTTCTGCTCAATTTCCGGTGACAGGTAGACGAGGGGCCGAGTCAAGCAGTTATTCTACAAGTACAACTTAACGTTAGGATCAGACATGCTACACAAAACAAATAAAAAGATCAGTACAAGCAAACACGTCCAAACGACACATGAGGCCCATCTACAGCTCGCACCCCATGTGAAGACTTCTTTGCTCGTACCTGGACCAGGTTCTTCTCAACATTTAGGAACATTTCTACATTCCTGTCCATCCGAGAGGGATTCTGTAGGTCGAACCTTCGCCTAAGAATAAAATCCAGAATGCAAAACAAAATACAGTGAGATATTGTTTTAACAAGTATTAAATACTCTTAAAATGTAAAAAGTAATGTTTTTAATTAATACAAAGTTGATCTAAAGCCTGTTTATTTATGCAAAAAACATGTATTCAATTTACTCCGAACCATCACAGGTTCTAACAGAAAAATGCATCAGTCAATAATAAAAATCTGTTCATTAGGGCTGCAACTAACAATTATTTTAATAATCGATTAATCTGTTGAATATTTTTTCGATTAATCGATTAATC